CTGTCTCCACGGAAGGCACCACATTTAGCCGTACAGAGCGGGAATCCATCAACCTTGTGATAGAAGTCGGAGGGACTCCCAGTCTAGCTGTATCTGAGGAAGTGAGCCGTGACTCCCGCAAGCTCCTCCCCTGCCACAGATTTTGTTAGTCTTGGAGGTGCTCCTGGACTCTTGCTCTTTTCTCCTGCTACAGACGGACGAACATGGCCACCCCTCTGGATAAACGATTGCACGAAATCCAGGTGTCATGCAGCCCCCCGCTGAGCGATCACAGGTCGCACGGGATGAGACGCAGGAGAGCCTGTTGCAGAGACAACCAACATGGACGATGACTGACTCCCCCCCAAAAAAAGATAAGACCTTTTGTTTTGCCACTTGTGGCGCGCTTCCTGCTCTGTGCGAGCAAGCTTCCCTGAAGAGTGAACCTCTGGGAAGTGGGGAAAGTCTGTTGTGGGGAGATCCACAGGATCCCAGAGGGGTCCCCAACCCTTTTGCACCTGTGGGGCAAGGCTCCCTCTAAGCTGTGGAGTCTTGTGAGCAGAAATTCTACTGTGTGAGCTGCTGGCGTTAAAGTTGTGAGCGAGCGATTGGGCCGCTGCGTCAATCGGTTTGCTCTGGAGCCCTCCTTCCTGAGCGAAGGCAAAAAGGTGGGCGCCGGAGACTAAAAACGGTGAGCTGGCACACACTAACTCAGCTTAGAGGGAACACTGGTGCTGGGCACAGTGACAAAATGGCTGCTGCAGGAGGCAAAGCCAGCCCCATAGGAAGTCCAATGCAGGGAGAAGAGGGATACTTTAAAGCCCTGCCGGGCAAGAGCCCCTTTATTGCCACTAAAACACTTGGTGGGCACCAGTGCTCCCTCTAAGCTGTGAAGTCTTGTGAGCAAAAATTCTACTTTGTGAGCTCCTGGCATTAAAGTTGTGAGCGGGCGATTTGGCTGCTGCATAAATCCGTTTGCTCTGTAGCCATCTTTCCTGAGCTAAGACAAAAATGTGCGAGCTGGAGGCTAAAAACCTGTGAGCTAACTCACACTAACTCAGCTTAGAGGGAACACTGGTGGGCGCCTTGTTGGGGATCTCTGCTCTTCACGTTGCATACGCAACAACGGCTCACGGTGAAGCACTCAGAGACTCTGCGACGGTTTGGCAAACGCCCCACAGGCCACTCATCTCGGCTGATGTCATTTCCCTTTCTTACCGCACATTTATCAGCCACACAACAGGCTCGGGAGATATCTCAGCAAACGTAAATTGTCGGCGCTCCAGTTACGGCCTGACCGGGCTTGTCACGCTGGCAAGATTTCTAGCCGGACCGGCTCTGCGCTCCTCGGCAGGTGATCAGAATGACGCGACTCCAGGAAATAAAGACACACCTTCGTTTGATCTGCAGCCTCCGAGGTTGGCGAGTGCGGCCAAGACAACTATCAGCTGTTACGGAGCCTGTGCTTTTTCCAGGAATGGGAGAGGCAGGCGAAAGAGGGCAGGTGCCCCTGCGCTCTCCTTGACACTGTTAAGAGTGCCGTAATACCTGCACCAGGCCAGACACTTTCCCAGTCGAAGCTGGAGACGGACAGCCCGGCCCCAGTGCACTGAACCTTGCAAGGAGAAGCCGTTGCGGGGCACCTTCCTCAGGCATGACCTCCGATATTAACTGAGGCAAAAAAAGAATTTCCTGCCTTTTTAACGTCAAACCTGTGACTGAGGCAGCTATTTTAAGAAGAAGAGGAGATTGGATTTATACCCCGCCCTTCACTACCCAAAGGAGTCTCAGAGCGGCTTACAAACTCCTTCCCCTTCCCCTCCCCACAACAGACACCCTGTGAGGTAAAAGAAGAGGAGGAAGAGATTGGATTTATACCCCGCCCTTCACTACCCAAAGGTGTCTCAGAGCGGCTTACAA